CAAGCAACAATTTCAACCAAGCAACTAGAACAACCAAGCAGTTAGTACAACCAAACAACTATATAGTAAAATCAAGCAACTAGTACTACCAAGCAACTAGTACAACCAAGCAACTTGTACAACTAAGCAAATATATATTACAACCAGCAACTAGTACAACCAAGCAACTCTATAGTACAATTAAGCAACTAGTACAACCAAGCAACTAGTACAATCAAGCAACAATATAGTACAATCAAGCAACTAGTACAACCAAGCAACTTTAAAGTGCAATCAAGCAACTAGTAATACCAAGCAACTAGTACTACCAAGCAACTAGTACAACCAAGCAACTATAAAGTGCAATCAAGCAACTAGTACTACCAAGCACCTAGTACAAACAAGCAGCTAGTACAATCAAGCAGCTAGTACAATTAAGCAGCTAGTACAATCAAGCAGCTAGTTCAATCAAGCAGCTAGTTCAATCAAGCAGCTAGTTCAATCAAGCAGCACTATAAAGTGCAATCAAGCAACTAGTACTACCAAGCACCTAGTACAAACAAGCAGCTAGTACAATCAAGCAGCTAGTACAATTAAGCAGCTAGTACAATTAGTTCAATCAAGCAGCTAGTTCAATCAAGCAGCTAGTTCAATCAAGCAGCTAGTTCAATCAAGCAGCTAGTTCAATCAAGCAGCTAGTTCAATCAAGCAACTAAAACAATGAAGAATCTAGTACATTCTAACAACTAATATAATTAAGCAATATAGAAAAATCAAGCAAAAGGTACAATTAAGCTACTAGTCCAAGAAATATTTTGTAACCAAGTAGCTAGTACAATTTAGTAATATATTGTAACGATGTAATTCAGTAATATACTGTATCCAAGTAACTAGTACATTCAACTATTAAGTAACATATTGTAACGAAGTAAATATAGTACAATCAAGTAATATATTGTAAATAGTACAATCAACTATTAAGTAATATATTGTAACCAAGTTACTACAAACCATTGTTAAATAAATGTTTGAGAAGAAAATTACGTTGGAAAAAAAAGTTATGAAACAAATGTTTATCTTTGTAAGTAAATATTTGTTGTTGACTGTTATCTTTTCTAAACTATGAATTGATCTACATATATAAATGAATCTTGTTTGTTTATATATAAAACTTTAATATACAACATTTAATGCTTAAACAATTTTCAGTGTCTAAGTCAGCTATTTTCTAGTGTCTAAGTAAGCTGATTTCTAGTGTCCAAGTAAGCTGATTTATAGTGTCTAAGTAAGCTGATTTAAAGTGTCTAAGTAAGCTGATTTCTAGTGTCTAAGTAAGCTGATTTCTAGTGTCTAAGTAAACTGATTTCTAGTGTCTAAGTAAGCTGATTTTTAGTGTCTAAGTAAGCGGATTTCTAGTGTCTTAGTAAGCTGATTTCTAGTGTCTAAGTAAGCTGATTTCTAGTGTCTAAGTAAGCTAATTTATAGTGTCTAAGTAAGCTGATTTATAGCGTCTAAGTAAGCGGATTTCTAGTGTCTAAGTAAGCTGATTTCTAGTGTCGAAGTAAGCTGATTTCTAGTGTCTAAGTAAGCTAATTTGTAGTGTCTAAGTAAGCTGATTTCTAGTGTCTAAGTAAGCTGATTTATAGTGTCTAATACTAGAAATTAGACTCTCACCTTATTTATCATTTTATCTACTGAATAATGGCTTCATGAAATATAACAACGGAAAAGTAGGTCTTTGACATTAAACAGTGTTATTGACGGACTATTGTTTTATGTCAAGAACCTTCAGTTTTACGTCAAGGAGCATGGTTAGAATTAATATAAGAAACAAAAACAACTTTTTAACATATAAACATTACAATTAAGTGAGGTAATAAAACTAAAGCTAGACTGTGTACTGGATAGAGTTAAATACCAAGGTCTGGTTTAAATTTCTCCGGAGAAGTCTGTTGAACCAGGCACAGGAGCAGGGTTCGAACCACGCCCTACCGGATCCAGTGCGAATATGGAACCTGATTTGGCAAACTTTGCCTTTCTCTCTTTAATGTCATGAACCTTTTCATCTCAAATACCGCCTTTCTCCCGTACTGTATTCGGCCTAAATAGATCCGACCCAAAGTATTTTAGAACAGACTTTAATTTAATTTGTCTCTCGAGAAGTCAAGTATTTTCAGTGCGGAAAGTTAGTCTTCTGTGCATAAATGGGGCTAGTTGAGCCTTAGTGGGGACAGAATGGGGCCAATCCCCCCCCCTTTCTTAGTAGGCTAAAAAACTATAATTTAATGAAAGGTGGAAATAGTTTTTGTTTTCTCAGTTTTACTTGATTTTTGATTTTATTCTCACTGATTTAATCCCTAACTAGAGAAAAAGTAAACTGCTTAGAAAGCAGTTGAAAGCATTAAAGAATTCATTTTAAAAAGTTTTCAATTTATCCACAAAATTGGAGCTTGATGATTCCCCTTGTCTTCAGAGAGTTCACAATATACAAACTACTAAATTTAGTCACAAACTTACATAAATAAAAAAACACGTAACACTGTTTCACGTTTCGAGTTGATACAATCAGATTCAGGGCTTTCAGATAGGTTTTTATCTAGACATGTTTTTTTCCAGAGTTAATCCTGTAGCCCCTCAGAACATTTTTTTATATGTAGTTAATTTTACAAGTAAATATAAATAGATTACATATGTATAAATAGATTAATAAAATAAATCTATTTTGGTCTGATAAATTAACAATATGGGGAAAGCCCAAAATAACGATTGTCAGTCATGTAAACCTGTTTCTAGCCAAGTAGAGTAGAGTAATAATCATATAGGTGTGGATTCATGGAACACTGGAGTTTCATTCATCGACCTCTTCTTATGTATAGGACTGCTTTAATCCTTTAAGAAATGCTTGGTTATAAACAATTTTTTAAAGATGTATGTTATTTATCTCAATATAACTCAGTGATTTCAATGAAAATAAAACTGCGTTCAGCGACCCCCATAATACCTGCACAACTGGTCCCGGTTTTACTAAATGTCAAATCCTGTAGGCCCTTTACACGGTTAGGATACAAGGAAGGAACGTGTTTGCCCTTTGCATGGTTAGAAGAAAAGGAAGGACGTGTTTGGTCTTAACATGGTTAGGATACAAGATAGGACGCGTTTACTCTTTTTCTTTACATGGTTAAGATACAAGGAGGAACGTTTCTGCCTTTTACATGGTAAGGATACAAGTAAGGACGTGTTAGCTCTTAACATGGTTAGGATACACGGAAGGACGTGTTTACTCTTAACACTTTTAGGATACAAGGAAGGACGTGTTTGCTCTTAACACTTTTAGGATACAAGTAAGGACGTGTTTACTCTTTACATGGTTAGGATAATAGAAGGTGGAACGTATTTTCTCTTTAAATGGTTTGGATACAAGGAAGGAACGTGCTTGCTCTGCATGATTAGGATACAAGATAGAAACGTATTTACTCTTTACATGGTTTGAATGATAGAACGTGTTCGCTCTAAACTTAGTTAGGATACAAGTAAGCACGTGTTTGCTTTTTACATGGTTAGGACACAAGGAAGGAACACAATTGCTCTTTACATTGGGATACAAAGTAGGAACGTGTTAGCCCTTTACACCTTAGGATATACGGAAGAACGTGTGTTGTTCTTTACTTGGATAGGATACAAGGAAGGATGTGTTTATTCTTTACATAATTAGGATACAAGGAAGGATGTGTTTGTTCTTTACATGATTAGGATACAAGGAAGGATGTGTTTGTTCTTTACATGATTAGGATGCAAGGAAGGATGTGTTTGTTCTTTACATGATTAGGATACAAGTAGGGATGTATTTGTTCTTTACATGATTAGGATACTAGGAAGGATGTGCTTGTTCTTTACATGATTAGGATACAAGGACGTGTTTGTTCTTTACATGAGGAAGGATTTGTTTGTTCTGTACATGATTAGGATACAAGGAAGGACGTGTTTCCTCTTTACATGATTAGGATACAAGGAAGGATGTGTTTGTTCTTTACATGGTTAGGATACAAGATAGAAACGTGTTTCAGTTTGTTTTCCCCATGGTTAGGATACAAAGAAATGCGTTAGCCCTTTATATGGCTAGGAACGTGTTTGCTCTTTTAGAGGATAGAATTATTTTCAATATTTCATTATTTTTTTTCTTCAAATATTCGATTTTAATAAAATTTGTAATCTACTTATTTATAGCTTCTGATGAAGTCCAGTTTTCTTTCAGTTAGAATGAACGTGTTTAAATGTGCAGTGGTTAAAGGTAGACACCCCTAGGGGGGAATCCAGGGCTGAGTCGCTACTTTTCTCCTCATGACATTTAAAACCAGTTATTTTCCCTGCATCTATCTAGCTCTCTTGGTTACTGTCTCACTCTTATCTTGTTTTTAACCATACCTGCCTCAGGATTTAAAACATACAAGTTTAATAAGTATCAAATTATATTTATATAAATCTTTATATATCCACCCTTATTCTTAGTCTTAGTTGGTGAAAAATTATACAATTTGTACAAAAAATATGAAGCATAGAGTAGGTTTGAAGAAATCTAACCGTTAATATAATTTGTATGAAATATGCATATATAACTATGTTAAATTTAATAATTTAGATTTAATCACTTTGTCGAGATTATAGGCGAGGTTCCAATAGAATATATATATATAATGCCCATCTACTACACACTAGCATAATCCCTGCAAACTTAATAGTTTCTGTTTCAATTCAGCGTTCGCTTTCTTCAATTTCTCCTTTCGTAGTTTCATTGAAATCTCTCTAGACCTAAGAAGCTTACAGTTTTGTAAAGCTGTATCTAAAATCATCTGCTTGGATACTTTCTCCGAGGTTGCTATGTCTGGTATGCAAGCTTTCAGCTCATCAAACGCTACTTTTAGCTCGTTTCTTCTCTGCCTTTCCATGTGATTGTGAATTTCTCGCGCTTCGTGATGTTTGACCTTTAAGCTTTCCTCTTTCCTCCTTCGTATACTTGTCTGAACCATATTCTTATTCATTATTCCCAAATTCAACCGTTTAACGGGAGAACTTGACAGGTTTAGCTTTTGTTTCAAAACTGACCTAGACTTATCAGATTTCAGTTTAACTCTGAAACAAAATTTGGGTTCTCCTCCTATTCTTGATCTGGGGCTCTTCAGTAAACTTTGTGATTGAATACAAGAGGTTGGAGCAGGGTTGAGAATGTGAGGGAAAGGAACTATGGTTTGGGTATCCTCATCTTCAGAGGATTCTGGAGGTGTATCCAAAAAGTTGGTTGGGTACTGGGGTAGGTTGGAGGAAGGTAAACTGGAGCTTACATAACAATGATCTAATGATGCGGAGAAACTTCGAACCTTACTCTCCTCCTCGGATAAAGATTTATCACAGGAACTAGATTCAATCAGGGGCTTCGCCTCGGTTTCTGTGTTCTCCTCCTTTATTTCTAGTTCGAACTGTGATGGACTATCGATGATCTTTAGGAATTCTTCAAATAGTGTATTCTCACAAATTTGTTTCTTGGTTTCTGGAGCTGGGGCAGGGTTACTAGACCACATACAGTCGTATCGAACTGCTTCTGAAATGTTTAGGTCCTCGAAATCTATGGAATCACTGTTAAAAAAGCTATCGTCTTGTAAATCTGAATCAATGTCTAATTTCAAATCGTTAGTTTGAATCCAGGGTCCTAAACTATCACTGATGGTATCAAAATCAAATTTGAAATCGTCCAAATCCATTGACATTTCGTTGAGGATTTCTTTCGAGTCTTCAATATATGAAAGGTCTGGTTCCATGGAGCCGCCCACCAGCTGTCCGAAAACCTGGTCTAGCACCATCTTGGAGCCACAGAGCAAATAAACTACAGAAACCTGAAATATTATCAATATATAAACACACGTCAACATTGGCAAACTATTTACAGTTGATGTATAGAAAAAGAAGTGTTTGTATAGACTAGATCCAAGGCCGCTTATCACGTCATAGAACGAGTTAGGCAGGGGACACGTGTATGTTTTGGCGCCAAGCCGGTGTGCTGCCGGTATACTGCTCCAGATATATCGATTTAATATTAGAAACATACCTTGCAGTTTAGTGTAGAGGATAGTAGAGTTGTATTTATTCACAACAATGCTGACTAGAGATTTGTTCCACTAATTTCAACTATGTCCCGGCAACGGCAGTGTAGTAAAGGATGGGTGTTCCCTGCTCAAGTAGCCACAAGACTGACTACATTCACAAACCTGTAGCCAGTCCCAAGTAGCAGCTGCGACAGCAGAGCCCGGCATTGCGCTACTAGATACCAGTTCCGCCGGTATTCTACCTCTCTTATTGGCCCTAGTCCATCCTCGTACTTTTGGCGGGCTGCCACGGCAGCTGACGGCAGCTGTGTTGGGTGGATTTCACTCCCCTCTCTCTCTTGTGCTAACGTGGCTGCAGCTTGCATTCTGTCCACACACACAAAACCTATCAAAACAAGGTTTAGGTTTTCCTGGATGTGAGATCAGGAGAATGTAAGAACGCCTTTTTTAAACTTTAAACTATAAAGTAACATATAAAGTTTTGGCCTCTGATAATAACTTCATTTTCTTCCTCTCATTTGTTTGAAAAATAAAAATCTATATTTAAGAATAAATCATCATCAATGATCTTAATTTTAAATGTATAGCATATTTATACATTATATAAGCACGCGATTATCTATGTAAATTGTGACAACTATTTGTTATATAATAATGCTTTGTCATCAGTCAATGCATATCGAAATATTTTATTAAGACAACGTACAATCAAACGGAATTGTGAAAACACGTTGAACAATTTTATCTTTATGTTAGAAATTAGAATTAAATGAACATTGTAGAAAATTAATGAAGACATTTAGATGATAATCAAAAATATAAAACAATTAGATAATCTTTTAGATAAAACCACTTAAAATCCTTACAAACATTTCTAATTTAATGTTATTTTTGATATTTGTTATTCTAAAGTTTGATTTTAAGATAAAATATCGTCGACTATAAATTAGATTTAATTTATGACAATGATCATTTGGTGATATGTGCTATTTAATTATGATTGATATTATAGCTATTATTAAAAATTTATAATCACTATTAATGTTATTATTACAATAATTATTATCTATTATTATTATTATTATTATTATTATTATTATTATTATTATTATTATTATTATTATTATTATTATTATTATTATTATTATTACTATTACTATTGTTATTATTATCATTATCATTATCATTATTTTACTATCATTATTTTTATCTTATTATTATTATTATTATTATTATTATTACTACTATTATTACATTATTATTATTATTATTGAAAATTCAATCATCCATAAACCTTCCCTGGGGTCACGCGAGGTCCCACAAAAAATTGGGCCCGATCGGTTCAGCCGTTTTGACGTTTATTGGATATAAACGGACAAACAGACAAGCAAAGTAAATAATAGATATAAAGTTGTAATCTTTGTTTGTCTGTTTGTTTGTTCTATCATAACTTATAACTCATGAAACCCATAACCGATCTCCATCAAAAGGAGTTGAGTTTTTGCACAAACTTTGATTTTCTAATCTCTATATCTTTGTAACCCAATGTCGTAGACCTTAGATATTTCAAACTATTAATACTTATTCATGAAATAATCTAAGTTTTAAATATGAAAGGTTTGCACTATCAGGTTGCAAAGATATTGAGATCAGAAGATTTTAGTCTGTGGCAAAAACTCAATTCCTTCGTTTGGGGAACTCAGGAGAATCTCGGGAATGTTTTTATCTTGGTTTAAAAGTTGAGTGGATTGGCTTTTATAGAGAAAGTTTAGTTTCCTTTTTCACTTGTTGAGTTCTTCGTGTATTAGCAGTTTTTCATGAGGTTTTAGATACTATTTTTTATTTGATATGATTTTCAGTTTTTCTCTCCAAAACCGACAGAAATAACATGTTATCGGTAATGACGATCAAAATATACTTTGTTTAAATCCACTTTCAAAATTCAAGAACATTCCCTTTGTAGCGTGTTTCTATTATAAGAAATATATATTGTATGGATCCGCACCATGTATTTTTGAACCAAATATTGGGCAGGACAACAAAGGATCCCTAACTAATCTCAAATCTAGGCGGCTAAAACTCCACCCCCGCTCTATATTCATGGCTGGTAGCCTCGATATTAAACTATTGTAAATTTATGCTCTCTAAAATTTGAACCTTCATATCCTGAATTTTGTTTTAGATGGATTTATCTTATCAATTGTCCCAAGAATGTATTGAAAGTACTTTTTAGTTTTTAAAAAGTTAGCAAAATATAAGGAGAGCTACAATTAAACTTCAGGTTATTCTGGAAAGTTCGAAATTTTTGATAAAAATGAAAATAATGAATTTTATCATTTTCTTCAAAAAGCTTGAAATACAGAACCGCAACCCTTCACGCGAATTCGTATTTTGGAAAAATTAAAAATCCTGCAGCTGCATTTTCATTATATAGACATTAATAACAAGTGATATTTATTCTTTTCCATAGTTTTAGTTTAAGATGTTTGAATAAAAAAATGCGTAAAACTTTCCGAAAATTTCATAGATCTTTATCACGTTTTACAAAACTGATTAAAGATCTGAACATGTATCAAACTAATTCGTACACCAATCATAATTCTAAGTTTACTATAAGGTGTTAAATTTACAGGATAACTGTTTAATTTTATAAAAGTGAAATCCGTTATGAACTCTGACATTAAATTTTTTAACATTAAATCCCAGGATATTAAACGATTTATTCTTGAACCGGATTTACTATATAGTGTTCTATATACAAGAAGTATCTACACCAGGAACCGGATTTACTAGTGTCCTATACACAAGAAGTATTTACACCAGGAACCGGATTTACTAGTGTTCTATACGCAAGAAGTATTTACACCAGGAACCGGATTTACTAGTGTTCTATATACAAGAATTATTTACACCAGGAACCGGATTTACTAGTCTCCTATACACAAGAAGTATTTTCACAAGGAACAAGGAACCTCTAATCCTTTGTTTACAGAAAAAGTAGTTGATATATAAATATACAAATATATATATATATATATATATATATGAGCGAAGAGAATTAATGTATAGATAATAATAATAATAATAATAAAGGAAATAATATTGATGATAACAATAACAATAACAATAACAATAACACTAACAGTAACAATAAACCCCCCCTAGTGCTAAACCAAAACAATGGTAAATATTGGTGTCTCTACTGGAACCAGAATTATCAAGGAGAAATGAGTTCACAAATCATAGATTATGTAATATCCTACATAGAAATGTATGAATCTATACATCTATCTTTGTTTATAATCTAGCTTTGGAAATTATCGTTGCCCAGGGTACTCATAGTCACTCCCGCTGTTTACCCGCACTTGGTCGTAAATTACGATTTTTGCTATATTTCCCGATAAAAGTCGACTCAAACAAAGAATCTTAAAACCATGCTTAGAACATTCCTCTGGTTCTTCCGAGTTTCCCAATGAAAGTTTGAGGCAAAATTTGTCCGATCATAACTATATATATATATATATATATATATATAAATATATATATATATATATATATATATATATATATATATATATATATATATATATATATATATAGTTTTTTCGATCATAAAAACTTTTAAGTATAATTAGATCTTTTTATAATTTTCTTATTTAAAAGTTGATAAAACGCAATCAAGTACAGTTACTCTCAATACTCTCACTGACATTAAGCATTTTAATGCCCTTCAAGTGCACCCCACCAATATTTTGCATAACAAAATAAAGGCAATTTTTCAGAAGATACCATTCTAAAACTTCTTAGATTTTTGGGTAGCCCACGCTAATTAAACAGTTCGGTCCTTGTGTCAGCAGGCTGTGACTTTCGATCACTATTTGACCTTTCATAAACAATTTTTGTGCTTTTTCTTTTTCATACTTTTTACTTTACTGATGCGCTTTAAATGAGAAATAAAAAAGACCCCTCTGTAAGTTTAAAGATTGACGAAAGACAACTTTCCCTGATTTATTGGGTAAAATCAAACAATTTTTTGGAGGAGAAAGCAGAGTTCTATCTATGTAATTTGTGGAGGAGAAAGCCGAGTTCTATCTATGTAATCTGTGGAGGAGAGAGCTGAGTTCTAACCATGTAATTTGTGGAGGAGAAAGCCGAGTTCTATCTATGTAATCTGTGGAGGAGAAAGCAGAGTACTTTTTATGTAATTTGTGGAGGAGAAAGCTGAGTTCTATCTTTATAATCTGCAGAGAAATATACCGTTTCTATTTATCTAATCTGTGGAAGAATAGAGGGTGATACATCTATGTAATCTGTAGAGGTGAAAACAGAGTTTGCTCTTAATAATCTAAAGAGGAGAACCCGAGCTCTATCTATGTAATCTGTGGAGATGAGAAGACGCCACTTTATTTCTCTCTGTCAAGTATGGATTTCATCTGGTGCATCTGCTAAAGTAACGTGAATAAGAAGCTTAATGAGAGTGTGGACGAACAATAATTTCCAGGCTTAGATATAAGGAAAAGATTGCAATCATCAATATTATGTTTTTTCTGTAATCAATAATTTTTGTATTTTTTTCTTTATAAAGAAGTAAAAATAAGTCATTGTATTAATTTCTTCTGAATTTTAGTTGAAAACTGACAAAGGAATACTTTAAACTGTTTAAATCTCAGAAACATTTGTTGTAGATTTACTTACAACTACCATACATCCGACCTATTCAGATATGACGGTTATACAATTGGAAATATGTTTCACAGTTCAAAACCACGTTTCTTTGTAAGTCTCAACATTCAACATACAACTTGCAAAGAGCCATTTGCGTAAAAGTATTTGACAACAGATACTTCCACCAATAAACTGTTCTGTTTACTTGAATTCCACATAGACTAGTAGACATACTTATTGTTGAAATATATACATCCTGTATATACATTTACAAACACAATCAAATATTTGGCAAAATCTTTCTTGACATATCTGACATAGACTCTATTATACACATACATACAATTACACTCCGACATATAGAAACACGTAATACACCCTAACATAACACACCTATATACACTCCAACATACAGACACACTTACACCCTGACATACAGACACACATACACTGTACATGCACACTTCTTACACTTCTCCCTCTAGCAATCTATCTA